CAGAAGCAGCGGAGGCAATTACCATATCGGAGCTAGTGGGGCTCATAGAGAAGCACACTCGGGCCCATGTTTTGTCTTTGACGTGCGAGGGGACTCTCCTCTACGCAGCTTCAGAAGAGAATGACAAGCTGCAGCGCCAGCAATTGCAGGCAGCGCAGCCGCCTCATATAGCGGCGTTGTTTGGAGAGCATCAGCAAGAAACGCTCCCCGACCCGGAGACGAGCCTCACTGAGGCTTTGCGCCATTTAGGATTAGCTCCGAGTTGCGGCGAGGTGCAGCAGCTTCGCCAGCAGCAACAGAACAGGAGTGCAAGGCGTCTGCATCAACAGTTTAAGGGCCCCACTTGGGCGGTGATCCGCATAGCGGCTTCGGATCCGTTTGGGGTTTGTGTGCCTTTGCCTCCAATTAAGGTTTTGATAAGGCCTAAGGCGTAAACAACGCTAGATCCTATGCATTTTCGCTCTTGTGCCATTTTGGCCTCTGCGCAGTTTAGTTGGTTAGAGGGTGCGGGCAGTGACTTAATGCTCAAGGCCACAGACGGAGCGCGGCCATAGTGATTAGGGCTGGTGAGACGGAACTTCCTACCGCACTTCTTGCTCTCTGCAGCTGTGCGTAGTGCAACTAGTGAAGGCTCGACAAACTAAAGATGTCACTGGCCTTCTCCAGTGAGGCAAAGAAGGCAAGTAGCCGCTTGTTGCTCCGCTTCCTGCTCCTACTCTCTACAGTGCAGTCAGGCCAGAAACAGATCAACCACTGATAAAGTTGAGCAGTCCAGGTAAGGACTGCCGCTTCTTACAAAGGCAACAAGAGTGCCCGGGATTTTTTTCGGGACCCCACACCGAATACAGAGCCGCACGCAGTAGATTCTTTAAACTGAAATACGGACGCAATTCCGAGTTAGCAGACCTGCTGCCCCACTAGGTCTTAGGAACGCCCATGCAGATTCTCAGTGGGCAGTGGCAAAGAACGGCAGCTTTTCGTCAGCAGCAGCTTGAATTCTGGCAGCCAAAGTTGCGAAGTCCTCTTGCATTGTTGGCGACGCGGGCTGGGTTTTCTGGGGCTGCTCTAGGAGGGCCTCTAAGGAGGCCTTGAATCCCTCTAAGGCTCCGTCGTAAGCCCTCGCCACCTCTGCTGCTGCAGTTGCTGCTCTCTGCTGCATTGGCTTCCGCGCAGTTTTGACCTGATCCCTAATTTCCTTGACTTGATCTTCAAGCTCTTCTCGGATTTCCTCCGCAGCATCTAATTGGTCGTCTAAAAGGTCCTGCAGGTGCTCCACTGCTTTTTCATACTCCCTTAGGAGCACGGTGACGGCATCCGCCAAGAGCTCAACTCGTTGCAGCGCCGCGAGCATCTCTTCTTCAGAATCCATCTCTTCGGGGTCGTGATCGAGCAGGGAGCCAAGCAAACTGTCTACGGTGGCGGTGTTGTCTTCCATCTGTTGGTCTTGCTGTTGGTTGTCCTCAGGCCCCTGCCCTATCGGTGACCCTTCAGGCGCAGATGCAGGCTGCTCTGGCTCGGGGGAAGGCTGTTCAGGATCTGAGATAGGCTGACTAGGTTCTGGGGTAGGCAGAATAGGCTCGGGAGTAGGCTGAACAGGCGCCGGGGTAGGCTGAATAAGCTCGGGGGTAGGCTGGTTAGGCTTGAAGATGACCTTATCAGGCTCGGGACTAGGCTGATCAGTCTCGGCAGGAGGCTGCTCAGGCTCTGGAAGTGGTTGTTTGGGTTGGGATGGCACGATCGGTTTGAGCGGTTGACCAATGGGAGCCATTCGCTGAGGTAAGTCAGCTGGAACCACTTGCGGCTGCAGCTCTTGCTGGGCTGGTGTAGGTGGATGCTGCGGTTCCGTAGTTGGCGTGTGTGCAGATGTCCGTGGGGCGAATGTCACGTGCTGAGCTGGAACTTGCAGTTGAGGTTGCCTCATCTCTTCTGTTCCTTCCGTTTGCTGGAGCCGCCTTACGGGGGCGCGCAGGGTGCCCCAGACAAGGCGGTCTAATATGCTGTCAACCTGGCTCAATTGATTTGGGAGTATGGAGACGCCCCCTGCACCAAGGCGTTTTCTGGCTTCTCTCTTCATTACTCCCACATCGGAATCAACTTCATGGGCCAACGCGGCGAACTTGTTGAGGAACGTGTCGAAAGGCATCACTGCTGCAAGCCCACTGACCGAAGTGGGAGATAGTCCCAAGTCGTGCCAATCCGTTATTCCATGAGGGCCGATTGCCTCTCCTCCTATGAGGCCGCCGAGAAGTTCCTTTGCCGTATCAACAGACAAGAAAGGCAGCAGTCCCTCTCTGGACAGGAACGCACCAATCGCGCCGTCTGTAGCTGTCTCCACGCCTTGTTGGAAAGAGCGAAGCGGGCCAGCGAGAGCATTCACCTGCTGAGACAACGGGAACACAGACTGCAGAGCCTGCTGAAGACCGCCGACGTCGGTGATAGGTAGCAACGCTTGGGAAGTCCCGTCTTGGCGGACACCAATGCCGCCAATATTGGGAAGGTGCAAATGCTGAAGCCCAAGTCCTCCGAGGCCAGCACTGAGGGAGTGGGTGAGGCTCGATGGGTCCATCGAACGGATGAGGGAGCCCGCAGTACCCAGCAGGCCCGCCCCCTGCAACAAAGCAGCAAGATTTCTGTTGTGGGGAGACTCCCGAAGCCGTCGAACACTGACATCTCTGGGCCGCCTGAAGAGGTTGTCGGATGCGATTGATGTTATCTTTGCACGAATGCTTGGGTTGTTTATGTTCGCCTCCAGCACATTACGGAGGTTCCTAGCGTGCTGAGCCACTTCTCTTTCATACGCTGCAATTATCCGCTCCACGGTGAAGTGGCTGCGCCGTGCTGCCTCCAGCACGCGAAACTCTTGGTGAGACAACTGCGAGGAAGATGGGACATTTCCGCTGGGCAAGTTCTCGAGTCCGACTTTGGCCACCAGCTGCTTCATTGCAAACTCGTCCAGCCCATGTTGTTTTCCCCCCGTAGCGAAAAGCAAGTCTTTGTATACGCGTTCTCTGCTCGTGGCGACCCTTCTGGAGAAAGTTTCCAACTGATCCCTGTCACGCGCGCTCAGTCCGCTACTAAGCAAGTTCGGCAGAGTGTTAAGTTGTGGTAGCTGCGTTAGCTGGGAAATACCAGCCAGGAACTGCAGGCGACGAGGTGGAGAGATGCTGCGAGGAAACGTGTTCTTAGAGAACAGCTCGTGGGCGCCCATCACCTTGGTGAAAGGGCCTTCCAGCCGGCGTCCGGCAGCAGCGCCCATGTGGTGCTTTGCCGCTTCAGCGGAAGGAGAGGCAATATGAGCACCAGAGGTCTGCAACTGGGAAGATGGCTCAGGGGAGCTGAGATGAGACTGAGTTGCTTCCACTTGCTCCCCAGATGACCCGAGAACGGCGGGAGGTTCCAAGTGACGTCCGCTGGTCAAAGCAGCAACCTGCGATGCGGGATTCTTACCTTCGAGAAAACCCGATGGCCCAGGAATATAATCCTGTGGATTTTCCGCTGCGGCTGCAGAGGTTCGCCCCTGGGCACCATTCTGACTTGGCGATGGAAGGGCAGGCTCGCCGGCGGTTGCCGCCGAGCAGCTGTACACCAAAGTGCGTGCAAGTACAGCGGAGGCTGCACAGGCCAAAAACGCCTTCCGAAGGCTTTTACCGAGCATATTTCTTACCTGCTCAGTTCAAACTTATGTATGGCTGTCAGCGACTAACGGACCTTGGTAGATCAGTACGGTGCGTTGACCACCTTAAACCTGACAAGTGTTTCAAAGCTCCTAGCACTGCTCAAATTGTGTTGTCCACCTTCTTTTAACGGCAACAGGAAAAACAAACTTATCTTCATCTCTGCCAGTACCCGACGCTTAGACGCGGTCCGTGTGACGTGGTGTGAGTATCACCTTGCGCGGGGGATCGCGTCTGGCGCCAGACCATTCATTACCTTACCGATAGATGCAGGTAAATAGAGTCAGGTAGACGAAAATATAGTTTTGGACATCGTAATTGCGTGTTGACATGAAATGCACTTAGCTTTCAGTCGAGTTTTGGTAAGACTGGTCGAGAGCTGGCACAGCATCTCCTGATAGGATTTGGACACTTTGTCAGAATTGCCCATAAACGCCATTCAGCCGGTTTCCACGCCAGCAAAAGTCGTCTTAGTTTTTGTACTCTTTAAATTTTGACAAAATTCCGCTTAAGTGGAAACGAGAAGCTCGCGCGTGCAGATCTTCAGGAATCTATTTTTGCAACTCTCACCAGGTCACTTTCCAGTGGTTCTGTGCTACTGGTCGAGAGCTGGCACAGCATCTCCTGATAGGATTTGGACACTTTGTCAGAATTGCCCATAAACGCCATTCAGCCGGTTTCCACGCCAGCAAAAGTCGTCTTAGTTTTTGTACTCTTTAAATTTTGACAAAATTCCGCTTAAGTGGAAACGAGAAGCTCGCGCGTGCAGATCTTCAGGAATCTATTTTTGCAACTCTCACCAGGTCACTTTCCAGTGGTTCTGTGCTCTCTTGAGTGCTCCCCAGTCGGGACCCTATTTACTGCTGAAGTCTTAAACCCATTCTTTGTGGGATTCCTCCCTCAATTGCCCTTAACAACTACTGGGCCTTGGGGATTTCCTTCCCCCGTCTGGCCCCCCTCCCCTCCACCGTAGTCCGCGCGTACAGTGGAAGAATTCCCTGCAAAGAATAAACAAAACTATCGAGATCAATTTATACCTCACGCAGACGCGAGATTAGAAAAATTGGGACTTTGCATATTTCAGGCGGCTGAGCTACTCAAGCGGTTTCGGCGGTCGAAAGCAGCCAAAGGCTCGTTTCATAGTTTTGGCGTTGCAAAGCAGATTGCCACCAGAAGCTAGATGATTTAGCTTATGTTCTAATTTTGCAGTTCTCAGGTGCAGCAAGTGATCTGTACTGACACCTCTGTCAACCAGCGGCGAGTTGGCTGCAGGCGGCGGCCTTCCATGAAGACCGGGATTCCGAAAGTGCTTGCTTGTGTACATAAGTGAAAATGATTTTTTTGCATGCAGTTAAACTGGGAGGTATTTGGACAGTTCTGCTTCTTCCAAATGGGGAGGCATCACATCTTCGCGCAGAAGAACATTCCAGTGGCCGGCGGGGTACAGCCGACCTTCACCTGCGAATTGCCAGTGATGCGCCAGTCAGAAGTGCTGTAAACACTTTGGACTGTGTCTTAGGAGAGTCTGATAAGGCCATTAAAAGAAATTCACTCGTGAATTCTGAGCCAAGAAATGCGAAGATGATGGATGCAGACGTGCTGATGGCGCAGGAAGCACGTAAGTTTCATAATAGCCAGCTTTCCTCTTTGAAAAATGGAATATTGATTCAGAGGAGCTTCGTAATGAGGCGAAACTTCATGAGCATCTTGCGCGAGAACTTGAAGACATCAAAAGAACGCAAAAGAGGAGGAGCGACTCGTCCATGAAGGACATTCAAGTCCGGCAACAAAAATCCATTTCATACTAGCATTACATGCAATAGCTGCATTTCTCTAAGGAAGGGGATCAAGCAGAAATTTCGAAACTGAAGCATAAACTGGAGCTTCTCAGAGAAGCGGCATCTTCAACGAAAGTAGGATTTTACGTTTTGCAATGCACGCTAATAACCGCGCAAGAGAAAATCTTTTTCAAGAAGGGCCTAGATGAAGAAAAATACCTTATAAGAGAGGCCCATACACACGACGAGGTATGCTGAACAAGTCTTATATATTTTGCATGCGCACCCGCGATGTAGTATCTTAGACAAGCAAAGCAGTGCGACTCCAACAACAGAACAGCAAACACAAGTCCCGCGATGAAGTTGCGGCGTTGATACAATATCCCCTCTTGGGTTTCACCTTGCCCTCATCAGTCAACCCTAATGAGTATTTAACAAAATACAGCGCGACAGCGGCTGTGTCTCCCAGTGTAGGCTCTAGGACTCGATCGGCTAGAGCGCCGCCTGCGTGCAGCAGCCGGGGAAAAGCAGGAAGAACCACTCGTCAGCGGTTGCGAGATCGCATCGAAATTTTAGGCGATGAAGCCGCTCTTGAGGAAGTGGAAAAGGAAAAAGAGGCAAGAGCAATGAA